GGCCAAATGACTCTTCCCCCCTCCCGCCAGGGCCTGCCTTCCAGATCCAGGCCGCCTCCCTCCCCTCTCCTTGCCCCAGGGATGTTCCCTCTCCCCATCCTCCCCCGGGGCCTGCCCAGGCAAAGGCAAGGCCCCAGGAGCCCGGGAATTCACCAGAGACCCCCGGGTCGCCCAGCCCCCAACCAGCACCCCTGCCCAGAACCCTGGAAGCTGGCTGGTGCCTCCCAACGGCGGGGCAAGCAAGTCGCTGCTGCCGTGCCAGCTTTACAGACGAGGAAACTGAGAACGCTCAGGCATGCCATGCAGCCCATGGCATCCACAGGTGGTTTTCAAAGGCCCTGAGAGGCCACACACCAAGACCACTCGCCTGAGGGACCCCAGACTGAATTCGAGGGTGAAGCCATCCAGCCATGAGCAGCCTCCCCTGAGAGGCTGTAATCTCGAGAGCCCCTCGCAAGCCCCGTTTTGAGGGGTTTTTTTAGAAAACATAAACTAAAATATCGAACCTCCCAGAGGCCTTTAAACAACGAGAGCCGTTCTTTTTTTATTTTTTTATTTTGATTTTTTTTGAGGAGACAGGGTCTTGCTATGATGCCCAAGCTGGTCTTGAACTTCTAGGCTCAAGCGATCCTCCCACCTCGGCCTCCCAGTGCTGGGATGACAGGCTGAGCCACGGCACCCAGCCAGAGTCATCCTTAACATTGTGACTGTCCTGTCACTACAGGGCTGGTCCACACTGTCAAGTGCACACCAGGCGGCCCGACCTGACTCAGAAGAGTCACGCCTGGTCCGGGGAGGGGCTCGGCATGAGTAGAGAAGCCCTGGGACCCTGCCCCGAGGAGAGCGGACGCTCCAAGGCTCTGTGTCCCCCTGGGGCGGCCGCCTCCGCCCAGGCACGTGGGGACCCGCCCCCCTCCTTCCCTCCCATGCCATAAGCCTCCGCAGATGAAGGCTTCCTGTGACGTGTGGCTTCCACGCAGGCCCCTCCTGGACACCCCGCATGGCTCCCAAGGCCCGGGTCTGCCCGGGTCAGGTCACCTAGCCTTGCCGAGACTCAAGGGTGTCCCAGCCCTCAGGGCCCCCAGCACCTCGCAGGGTTGCCCACCTGGGAGAGGGCAGGGGCAGCCGCAGCCCCTGGGCTGTGTCCCCAGCTGGGGCCGGGGAAAGAGCAAACCTCTGGAGGGAGCTCCAAGGCAGGTAGGCAGGGCCCCTCCTGGAGGGCCGGGGAGAGCCTGCTGGTTCCCAGTGTGCCCTCCTGTCCTAGCCGAGCCCTGAGGCCTCTGCCTGTGCCTCAGTTTCCCTTCCTTGCCAGGGTCCTGGGGAAGGAGCCCAGCCTGAGGTACAGTGGTCACAGCAGGCCGTCTCCAGGGTAGAGCCAAGCGGCAGGGCCAGACTTTGGGGCCCACCGTTTCCCCAGGGACCCCCGACCTGGAAGGGACAGTGTCCTGCCTGGGCGCCACCTCGTCAGCCGTGGCAGGGCGTGGTCTCTCAGACTTCACTTTCCAACTCTGTCTCTCCCACCTGGCAGCTCTCCTCATCGCCCTCAAATGTTCGGTCACTGAAGAGTCCTGAGACCCTCGCTCAGCACCCAGCTCTGACCCCCACCAACCCACCCCACCCACCCCTCCCCCACGTAGTCCCTCCCCTCCAGCCGGGGGGAGACCTCGAGTCCTGCCACCACAGTGGGCAAGCTGTGTGGGCCCTGTGAAGTGACTCCACCTCTCTGAGCCTCCGTCTCGTCACACATGCAACGGGGACGGCCTGGCTGAGCGGCCATAAGGGACAGGAGAGACACACACACAGACACCGGAACCGAGCCTGGGACCCAGAGCCTGCCCAACAAGCAGCCACTTCCAAAAAGAAAAAAGACACAAGCCAGCCACGGCCCGGCCACGGCTGCGGCCCAGTCCCTAAGGTTCCAGCACACCCGCCGGTCACAGAAGCCTCCATCACGCTGGACAGAGCTGAGGCGTGTCCCCAGGAAGTGCAAGTCCCCTGGAACCACGGAGGGCGACTGTGTCTGGAAGCAGGGTCCTCACAGATGGGGTCAGTCAAGACAAGGTCGCAGCCAGGCGCTCTCGCCTGGAATCCCAGCACTCTGGGAGGCCCAAGGCGGGAGGACTGCTTGAGGCCTGGAGTTCAAGACCAGCCTGAGCAACACAGCGAGACCTCTTTTCTACCAAAAATTAAAAATTAAAAAATTAGAGGCTGAGGCAGAAGGACTGCCCATGAGGTCAAGGCTGCAGTGGTTGGGAGCGTGCCACTGCGCTCCAGGCTGGACAGAGTGAGACCCCCAGCTCAAAAAATAAAATCAAATTAAAACAAAAAAAATTTTTTTAAAGACAAGGTCGTCATCTGGACGCCAAACCCACACAGGGACACCAGAACAGAAGTCACACGGAGGCGGAGGCCGTGCTTGGAGGGACGTGTCTGCAGGCCACGGAGCACCACAGATGCCACGGCCACCAGGGCGGGGGAGGGCCAGGGACGGGCGGATCAGACGCGGGGCCCAGAGCCCACGAGGGCGGCCCTGACCCCGCGTGTGTGGCGTGGCGGGCCGGCACTCACTTCTCGCGGAAGGTCTCCTTCTCCTGCTCGCTCCACATGTTCATGACCTGGCGGTCCCGGTACACCTTCATGGGGTCGCCCATGAGCCCGTTCATGTTGATAAACTTGATGCGCTGCTGGTCGGCGTCGTACAGCATGGGTGGGATCACGGCCAGCTGGCGCATTTGCTTCTCCAGGTTCTGGGGAAACCGAGGCGGGAGGCTGGGTCAGGGCGCGTGGGGGGTGGGGCAGCGACAGGTTCAGAGGGAGGGCTGAACCGGACAGACAGCAGGGCTGTATCCACAGTGGGGGAAGATACGGGGGCGGATATGGGGGTGGGGGGGACATGAAACCCCACAGGAGACACCTCAGCCTGGGCCAAGAAGCCCCATGCTAGCTCAGCACGAGGGGCCGGGGGCCCGGCTGCGACCCAGGGGCGTGGACAGGGAAGGCTGCCCCGGGTGGGGAGCCCCTTCCTTCCCCACCTGCCCCCAGGCCTGACATCAGGAAGGCCCCGAGGCTCAGCGCCCCCCCAGGCACACCACCCCAACCACCCAACCTCCGCAGCCCAGGAGGGCCACCCCTCGCAGCTCCGGAGCAGGGAGGGAAGGCTGGAAGCCAAGAGCAGCGAGTTCAAGCTGCCGGCCGCAGCCGCCAGGTCCACCTCTTCCCCCCGTCCAGGGCACAGCCCAACCCCAGTGGAGAAGAACCCTCAAGAGGCCACAGGTGCCCCCACCCCCAGGGCCGCGACCACCTCGGCCACCCAGAGACGCAGTGGCGGCAGGACCCCAGGCCCAGCTACGGGCAGAGACCCCCGCTCCCATGGGCGGCGGCCCAGTCCCATCATGCTGGGCCTGTGCTCCAGACGCCGGAAGCTCCCAGGACGGAAGTGCCTGGCCTCCTGCCCTAGCCCCGCCCCTATGCTCCGGGAACCTCAGGGCAGCCCCAGCATGCCAAGGACGCTTCTGCTCCAAAGGCCACTCCTACTCTCCCCCCTCCAGCTGCCCCCATGTCCCCAAGGACACAGCAGCTACCTGCTCAGGTGGCCGGGCCTGGACATAGGGCTCTGGGATGGGCGTGTGTGGGGGTGTGTGTGTGTGTAGACACATATACACGTGTGAGCGTGCATGAGATGTGTGTGTATAAGTGTATATACGTATGAGTGTATACATGTTATTCGTATGTTTTGTGCATGTTGTGTGTGCATGTACGTGCATAGGTGTGTGCGACACTGGCCCTGACATCACACACTGACCTAGAAGCTGGACGGCCAGCCACCCAGCACACCAGGGCAGGGCCTCAGGGCCATGGGCACAGCTCTCTGCATTCTTTGAAACAAGAACATATGATGAAAGGTTGTAAGCGAAAAACTGTTTTTACAGCCAGAGTATCTGATGACCTGTCAGCATCGCAAGGTGGCTGTACAGACACACAGGTCCCTGGGCCCCATCCCAGGTTGCCAAGCAGGTGTCTCTGAAGGAAGCTGCGGGTGACAGCCCTCACTTGGGCCCATTCGTCCAAGGACCATGCCCAGGGCAGCCAGTCCTGTGTCCACTAGGACATCCTGCCGTGTGGCTATGTGAACAGACTGTCCTGTCCATGGCGGGTGGCACCGACCACAACGGCCGCTGCCCAAGACCGGCCAGGTACAACACGGAACTGAATGCACCTTGAGTGAACTCAGTAAATTCCGGCTCTGAGCCCTGTAACCTCCCATCTGGACAAGAGCTCTCCCAGACCAGAGGCCCCAGCAGGAGAGAGTGCGCCTCTGAGTGGCAGTCTCACGTCTGCAACAGCGTAGAGGGCCCAAGGGACAAGCGTCACTGGGTGCTCGCAAGACCCGGAGGGGCCAGGCTGGTCCCAACCCCGGCCCCAGGCCGCTGAGAGCCCAGGCTGACTCCCCAGAGAGGCTAGAGGGAACAGAGGCCAGAGGGGCCAGATGGACCGCTGGTGCTGGACGTTTCCATCAGCCCCTCAAGCACCAGCCCCGCCAGGCCCCTGGTGCCAGGCACCCCGCTCGGGCTCCGGCTAGGCTCCGAGAAGGCGGGGGGGGGGGGGGGGGGGGGGGGAGGCACGTCCCACCCCCTCTGCCCCGGGGCCCAGCACACCCTCCACCCAGCCCCCCAGGCCTGGGCCTGCTGCCTCTGTGTCCACATGGGTTCTCCTACCCCTGATTTCAACCCTTCCCCTTGGGCAGGAGTCCCCCCACAGCGAAGACCGGGTCTGCACCCAACTCACCTCCTGCTCGGAGAGGCCGTCGATGATCTCAGACACCTCGTGCTCGCTGCGGGCGGCAGACATGGAGAGCCCGCTGCCCCGCTGACCCACCCTACTGGAGACCAGAGGGACACATTCAGGACCAAGGCCAGGACTGAGCAGGGTGTCTGGGGACGTGGCCAGCCCCAGGCAAGGGCCGGGGAGGACACGGAGTCCCATCCTGACCCAGAAATGCCACACCCCACACCCTTGGGCTCTGCCCCATCCTCTCTCCTGAAACACTCCTACAAGACCAGGGTTCAAATCCCGGGCACTCTCCACAGGGCTGGCAGGAGGCTTGCGAGGTGACCGGGACAGACACAGCAGCTGCCACCTCTACAGCAGTCACGACGGCGGCAACCCAGGCTGCCCCCCACCACAGGTCTGCCGTCCCCACGGCCTGACCTCCAGGCCAGTCACCCCAGGGTCTTGAGGCCAAGCCATCGTGACACAGGAGACTGGTGGGTGGGGGCTCTCTGTGACCTCCGTGTCACCGCTTGGGACCCTGCACCTTTCTGAGGCACAACCCGGCCCTGGACCCGGCTCGGAGGGTGGAGGGCGGAGAGGACGGAGGAGGGGGGCGACAAGCAGGAGAGCAAGTGCAGGACAGAGGACAGGAGCTCGAGGAGGCCAGGAGCGGCCGGAGGGAGGCCGGAGAGGGAGGCCGGAGGCCAGAGGCCGGCGCTCACCTCTGCATGCGCTCCTGCAGCTCGCGCTGCTTGCGGATTTCCGGGAACTGCTTCTCGTAGTACTCGCGCACCTTGCCTTCCTTGGCGCGCCGCCGTGGGTTGCTCTCGATGCGCTCCACCTTCTTCTCCCAGGCCTCCATGAGCCGGTCATAGCGCTGGCAGAACCTCTGCTCCTGCGGGGAGCACGCTCAGCCCCGGCCCGCCCGCACGGCGGCAGCGGGGCGGACACACACGCATGGACACAGACACACACGCACAGCCACGCGAGGACACACGGACACAGGCACACACGCACGCACACGCGCACACACGGACACACCCTGCACACGATCATGAGGGCGGACGACAGACACACACAGGCAGGCAGGCAGAGACGGAAGACACACACGCGGAGACACGGGGCCAGCCAGGCCCTGGAGAAACCCACAGGCTCCCCCAAGGGACGCGGCCACCCCCCTTCCTGGGGCACCAGCCGCCCAGCCCTGGCCTCCTCCCCAGAGAAGGCCTCCTCTCTCCCGGAGGCCAACAGCCTGCAGCCACACACGGCATGGCACGACCCACGGACACCCCAGCCACGGACGGGAGCAGCTGTGGAGGGTGTCAGGCCCCGGGAGGGACGTCCTCTGCGGAGAAATGCTCTCCAGCCTCAGCCACACTCCCTAGCCCTGCATGAGCACCCAGCAGCTCCCAGAGAGGCTCTGCCCTCCCTTAAGGCAAGGAAGTCCTGCTCCAGTCTAAACACAGTGCTGCCTGCTGCATGTTTTTGAGAAAAGACCCCAGCCAGCCCAAAACGTAGCTGCCTGGTTTCCACATCTCCAGGGTGACAGGCCCCAGGCAGGGGCCCAAGGGGCAGGGTCTGGCCACCCATGAGACCCAGGTGCCCTGGTCTCTACCCACCACGGGCGGGGAACAGCGTGCCCAGGGAGACTCAGCGTCCCCCAGCTGGTCGTGGTGCCGACACCCTGACACCCTGACCCTGTCCGTACTTCAGCCTCGGCCTTCACGACCCTAGAGAACAAGGTTCCCCTCCGGGTGGGGGGTTGCTCAGGCTGGCACTGACAATACAGAGCTCAACCCCCTGCGTGTGGGCTGCGCCAGGAACCTACGGAGCTCGAGGAAGCTCCAGGGACAGGCCAGGGCCACCTGGGCTCTGGGACGGGCCAGCCCAGCGGGGCCACAGTCCGGCATAGGACGCCACACAGCCAGTGGGGAGCAAGCCAGGTGGACATAGCAGGGCCCCATGAGCACAGCATCGCGGCATCCTCGTGCCCGTGAGGGGCAGACAGGGTGCCCGCAGAACATCCCTGCCCTAGCCGGGGCCCTCATGGAGCATGTGGGCAGTGAAGACTCCCATGGACGGTCTCTGCCAGGACATCCAACCACCTCCACGACCGCAAGCACCAGGCTCTGCCCTTTGCCCAGGACAAGGAAGTCTCCCTCCGGGTCTAACCGCAGTGCCGCCTCTGCAGCCCATCAGTAGTGCTGGGGGTGCCCTAAGTCTGACTCGAACGGCGCCCAGAGGGCAGCTCTGGCCGACCCCGGGCAGCAGAGATGCTGCTCACTCAGCTTTTCCAGGGAAGGAGGGTGAAGGGGGCACATCTGCCTCTCTACTTCTCCCTCTCTGTCTCTGTGTCTCTTCCTGTCTCTCTCCGTCTCTCTCCTCCTTCTCTGTGTCTCTCTTTCTCTTCCCTCTCTGTGTCTCTGCCTTCTCTCTCTCTCCATTCTCTGTCTCTGTCTCTGTGTCTCTCTCTCACACACACCAAGGCTGGAGCCTAGCCAAGCTGTCTGCAGAGCGCAGGGAGCCCAAGTCTGCCCAGGACGGGGAGCAGGGCCAGTACGTGCCAGGACCACGGGCGACCTGCCCTCAGCAACTGGACCCGGGACCCATGCAGGCATCAGACACCTCGTGGGGGTGCACCCTGCTATCTGGGAAAAGGCAGGTCCCAGGAGCAGCTGGGGGCCGAGGGTGGGGTGTGGGGGGGGTGCGTGAATGGCGTCTGGGCCAAGGCCCCTCCCAGACCAAGGTGGGAAGGCAGGTATGGGCTTGTCACTCAAAGCGGACACCCAGGTGGCCATGGCCCCGGGGTCTCTGATCTGTTTTCACAAAAGCCTCTCTGTGGCTCTGCATGGCTACAAAGCCACCCCTCGGGCCTCAGGGCCTCAGAAGTCGGGCTTCTCCAGCCTCTGCGACTTCCAATGAGTTGGCAGTCCTCCGTGCCCTCCCCCCAGGACCCCCAAGAGCCACAAGGGGTCCGCAAAGAGCTCTGCCCGCCCCACCCCACCTCCACCCAAGGCCTTCCAGAAACTGCAGGGATGCTTTCAAATGCGTCCAGCCCACCTGCCCTCCCCCACGCGGGACGCCAGGGCCTTCTACCCATGGGAGAGCTCAGCATTGCTAGCTGTTTTTAGGCGTGATAACCAGAGAACTTCCTTCCTCTAAGGAGACCGAGGGGCAGTGGTTGTGAGGGGTGAGAAGTCTGGGCCTCTGAACCTATTTTCTGGCTCAACAAAAAACACATTATATTTATGAGGGGGTCCCCCAAACCTAATTTACTTATAAAAAATCGTGTATTTATTCCTGCGTGTTTTCTGTTTTTTGTTGTGTTTTGTCTTTTTGTTTTGAGTTGTCACTCTCCCAGACGGGAGGGCAGTAGCATGCTCCCAGCCACCACAGCCTAAATTCTTCCTCCTGGAACTACAGGCCACCATGCCCAGCTAATGCTTTGATTTATTGTAGAGATGAAGTCTTGCCAACTTGCTCAGGCGGGTCTCGAACCCGTGGGCTCAGGAAATCCTCTCACCTCGGCCTCCCAAAGCGCTGGGATTACAGGCATGAGCCACCATGCCCGGCCTACTCCTACATGTTTAAACTTCAGTCCCCTGCAAAGTCCCCTCCGTGGGACGCAAACAGCTTCTCAACTTGTCAATTTTGATGCCTTTTAGTGCTTCTGCCGGTTTTTTTGTTGTTGTTTCACCTCTTCCACATCAGCAAAATGTGTCCCTTGGAGGACTTTTTTCATCCAGGGAAACAAAACAAAACAAAAAAAAGTCACTCGGGGCGAGACTGGGTGACCAAGTGGCAGGGGGTACCCGGTAGTGCTGTTGTGGTCAAAAACCGCTGCACACTCAGCACAGTGTAGGTAGGGTGTCGTCCTGGCGGGAGAAGCAGTCACCTGTTTGCCACAACTCGGGATGTTTCTTCCACAAGTCGTGACGTATCCTTCTCAAAAGTTCTAGATAAAAACTTTGGTTGGGGCAACCCTTCGGGTCCCCTCCCACTGTGTGAGCTTTCCTGTTCTCTCGATAAATCCTGCTTTAAAAAAAAAAAAGCCGGGCTCGGTGGCTCAGCCTGTAATCCCGCGCCTTTGGGAGGCTGAGGTGAGTGGATTGCCTGAGCCCGTGGGTTCGAGACCCGCCTGGGCAGCAAGACCTCATCACTACAATAAATCAAAAAAAAATCAGCTGGGCGAGGTAGCGCATGCCTGTAATTCCGGCTACTCGGAAGGCTGAGGCGGAAGGACCGCTGGAGCCCAGCAGGCCGAGGCTGCGGTGGCCGGGAGCGGCCACTGCACTCCAGTCTGGGCGACAGAGTGAGACTCCAAAAAAAAAAATTGGCTGTTTGACTCGGAAGAACAAATTCTGAGTGTGCTCCAAGGAACTGCCCTCCAAAAGGTCATTCCAGGTTTGGGTGGGTCCCCCTTCATATATTTGTGAGATACATACACTCAACAGACAGAAGAATGTGACAGCCACGTGACTCTGGGTGGTGGGTATCCAGGTATCCAAGTGCTCATCATGTCCTAACTTTCTGCAGGACTGAAAATCCTTATGATAAAGGCTTTGGGTCAGGAGCGGTGGCTCACACCCGTTATCCCGGCACTTTGGGAGGTCAAGGTGGGAGATCACTTGAGCCCAGGAGTTCAAGACCAGCCTGGGCAACAGAACAAGACCTCATCTCCACAAAAAAGCAAAAATTAGCCTGTGTGGCGGTGCACACCTGTAGTCCCAGCCACTTGGGAGGCTGAGGCAGGAGGATCACCTGAGCCCAGAAGGTTGAGGTTGCGGTGAGCTGCTGACTGTGCCACTGCAAACCAGCCTGGGTGACAGAGTGAGACCCCAACTCAAAAAAAAATAAAAGACCTTGTATTCTTTATCACGAATACACTTATTAAGAATAAATCAGGCATCCCACTGTGTTTGGGGTGACCTACTGCAGAGCCGCCCCTCAGAGAGGCTCTGAGCCTGGCCTGGGGAACCAGGCTGCTTGGCTTCAAAACCCAAATCCACCCCCTCCCAGCTGTGTGACCTCTCTGGGCCTCGGTTTCCCCATCTGAAACACAGGGCCTGCTTCACAGCCCTGAACGCACTGATGTACAGAAAACGCTCAGAAGAGCGCCCAGAACACAGAAGGCACCAAGGGGGCGCTTGCTGGTGTCACCCGAGTCTGTCCCCAGAGCCTGCAGGCGGGGGGGGGGGGCCTGGGTCTCCGTGACTGTGAGGCTCGCATACAGCAGGTGCTCAATGACTGTGGGCAACCAGGGCCCTGAAGGCATCTGATTGGCTAACGCCCTCCGGTCCAGCTGCTCTTCAGGCCCCAACCCAGTCCAGTTCAAGCAGCACTCAGTGGTTACCGACTGTGTAACTGACTACGCGCACTTGGCAAGGCTGAGCCCAGCTGGCGGGCCAAGAAGGCCTCTCTGGAAGCTGGCACCCTGCGCACCCGACCCCGGGAAAAGACCGTAGGGCCAAGACGGGTGAGGGTCCTGGCGTGAGGGGCCCCTCCACCCTGCGGCTTCTCTCAGGTCGCCTCTCCCCGCGGTGGTCCTCTCCCACCTCCTCTCAACCCCACTGTCTCCCCGCAGCCCGGGGTGCGGATGACGCTACCCCCACCTACAGAGGCCTGGCAGCCAGCAGCTCGGCCTCGGCCCAGCTTCCTGACATCAGTCACCAGCCATGGGGACCCAGGCCCGACTGCTCTAACATCTGTGGGGTGGTCCGAGAAAGGGCAACTCCCGGATCCAGGAGACTGCAACTTGCCACGGGAACACAGGGGCCACCACGGCCGCCGGTGTGTCAGCGTCCTCGCACAGAGTGGAAAGCCGCATGGAACGAGGCTGATCGAACTCCTCCTG